CCCCCACTCCCGCCTGTGGTCAGGTCAGGCCCAGAGACACACGATGGGGCCTACCGGAGGGCTGGGAGGGGCACCTGTCACCACCTCGTCTCAGCTGCTCCCTGAAACCCCCATCCCAACTTTCAGCCTCCCAGCAAGCCCGGCCAATGCAAATGGGTTTCCCAGCAACCCAGCCCCAGGTCAAGCCAAGTTTCAGGCAGCCATGGAGAAGCTGGGATGCAGGTGCACGCTGCAGTCTCCTTGATTGCCTGCTGCTGACACCCTGGTCACTCCCAGACACACACCCATGGGTGACACCACCCCTGCAACTTGACAACTTTCACTGTTGGAAGTCCTCCCACATCTAACCCAAATTCTTCAAGCTGCAGAACTAGTCTTGGCCTCTTTAGTTCCCAGGAAGCCCCTGACTCTGCCTTGCTGAGATGAGGCTTGAGTGCAAGCACAAGGCCAGTGGACCCGGGCCGTGGTGGGGGCAGCTACAGGCATGAGCCTCGCTCTGACCTGCCTCTGTCTTCCCATGGGTCCCACGGCACAGGAGGGCCACCCACCAAATGGTGTCACTGCAGAGGAGCCTGGCCTGGCCCCTTCTCGGCACACCGGGACCCAGGCCTCCCATCCTCTGCCCACCGCTTAGGGAGGCACCATTTAATTTACTTATTTTTTAAATAAATACTCTGGCTCTTCACTTCAGACTAGGAGGTGAAGCCGACAGTCGGGCAGGCTCCCCAAGACAGGCAGCACTGAGAGCTCCAGGGTTCCCAAAAAACACCTCTGACCAACGCCTGAAATGCCTTCTGCACGGCTGCCCTTCCGGGCTGTGGAGCGGTGCTTGGCTGCTGACGATTTGAGACCCTAACTGCAGGGGTTTGCCAGAGTTGGGGGTAGGCCCAGAGGATTCCTGGGTTTCGGCTGCCCCCATCGACCATGCTCGCCGGCGGCCGGCCCGCCTTGTTTCAGAGAGGAACTAGATACAGGTGATCCGCACAGCCATGGCATTGGCACCTTGATCTCCTCAAAGAGCACACGGCCTTCGGGGTTCTCCGCACCCACCATTCCCAGCTGCAGCTCTCGTGCAGGTCTTGGGTGTGCTGCAGAGACGTTGGTTCTGGGCTGGCAGCCCAGTCGGCGCAGCGCCAGAATGGCCAGTATGTGGTCCCGCCTGCAGAGACAAGCCGGCGCTCACTGCAGGCTTACACCTCCGCAACATCCCCAGCCCCAGGATGAGGGGAACCCATGGGCTTGGGAGGCGTGAGTCACTCTGCATTCCAGGAGAGTCGGTCAGGAGGCCGATTGACTGAGGCCAGGGAGAGCGGCTGGGGGGAGGGGGCAGAGTGTGGGCCGGCAGGGGAGGGGGGGCTACTATAGCTGGGCTTGGAAGTGGTCACAGGGAGGTGTGCAGAGGGGGGAAGAGCCACGCAGGCACAGAGGGAGACCACGACAGGGTGGAGAGGGAGGGAGGAGCTACGGGGTGGGGGCAGGTGGAGGTGGAGGGAGGGAGCTACGGGGTGGGGGGCAGGGTGGAGAGGGAGGGAGCCACGGGGTGGGGGGGCAGGGTGGAGAGGGAGGGAGGGAGACACAGGGGCCGGGTGGAGAGGGAGGGAGGGAGGGAGACACAGGGACAGGGTGGAGAGGGAGGGGGGGAGACACAGGGACAGGGTGGAGAAGGAGGGAGGGAGGGAGACACGGGGACAGGGTGGAGGGGGAGGGTTACGTATTGCTAGCTCCTTGGAGAGAACCTGACCAGGACCAGACCAGGCCAAGCCCTCCCTTCTCCCCTCTGATGCACCCTGCCTGGGACACTCATGGCCACCACCAGGTCAGGGGTGGGGTCAAGCAGGGAGAGGCCACCTGTCAATCACTTGCCATCTCTTGACCCTCCCCTAGGAAAGACATGCCCTGGCGCCCGGGCTGGGAAGATCCGCAGCACGACGACGCAGTGCGCGACCTCTGTCTCTCTGCCAGCCTCAGTCCTCCCACCAGGGACGGGAATCGCTTATCGGCACTAGCATCACACACCCGCCCCCCTCAACCCTGGAGATGGGGAACCCCAACCCTCCCACTTCCTCATTCCTGCCCCGCCTGCCCCACCCTGCCAGGACACCTGATATTCCCTTTGCCCCAGCCTGCCCTGCTCCTGGCCTCCATGGAGGAGGGTACTGTGCCCCAGCACTTGCTCCCAGAAGAGACAGACAAGCTCCTGGGCACTCAACCCCCAGGCTCTCTAGCCCCCAGCAAGACTCAGGCTCCAGGTCCCAGCCCTGGCATAGGAACCGCGGCAGGTCTGCCTGGGGAACTGCCCCCTGACTGTCCAGTGTGGAGGGGCCTGAGGGAACAGGGAGAGACACGCCCCCTGTCTGCCTGGCACCAGAGTAAGCCAGACCCTTACCCTGTCCTCAGGCGACTCCAAATTCGTGGAGCTCTTGAACCTTAGCCCACCTGCGGTCACCTGCCCCCACTCCCGGGCCAGGGTCAGGGTCAGCCCAGACACGATGGGGCCCACTGTGAGGGCTGGGAGGGGCACCTGTCACCACCTGTCTCAGCTGCTCCCTGGAAATCTCCCCATCTCAACTTTCAGCCTCCCCAGCAAGCCCGGCTGCCAATGCAAATGGGTTTCCCAGCAACCCAGCCCTCGCAGGCTTCAAGGCTTCAAGTTTCAGGGGCAGCTTGCGGAGAAGCGGGATGCAGGTGCACGCTGCAGCAGTCTTCCTTACGCTTTCTGCCTCCGTTGTTGACACCTCATGGTCACTCCCAGACACACACTCCATGGGTGACACACCCCCTGCAGTAACTTGACAACTTTCACTGCTGGGAAGTCCCTCCCACATCTAACCCAAATTCTTCAAGCTGCAGAACCAGTTCTGGCTCTTTTTTGTCTCTCAGGAAGCTCTGACTCTGCCTTGGCTGAGACGAGGCTGAGCGGGCACAAGGCCAGTGGACCCGGGCCGTGGTGGGGGCAGCCACAGGCATGAGCCTTCCCTGCTCTGGACCTGCCTCAGTCTTCCCATGGGTCCCACGGGCACTAGAGGGCCACCCACCAAATGGTGTCACCAGAGAGCTCGGCCCGGCCCTTCGGCAACACCGGGACTCCAGGCCTCCCATCCCCCGCCCACTGCTTAGGAGGCACCATTTAATTCACATTTATTTTTTAAATAAATACTCTACTCTTCACTTCAGACTGAGGTGAAGCCGGACAGTCGGGCGGAAAGCCCCCATGACAGGCAGCACTGAGAGCTCTGTGGCCCCAAAACACTCCCGACCAACGCCTGAAATGCCTTCTGCACGGCTGCTCCTTCTGGCCAGACAGCTGTGCTTGGCTGCTGACGACGAAAATTCCCTAACTGCAGTGTCAGAGTTGGGGGCAGGGCCCAGAGTACCCTGCTTCCTGGCTGACCTCACTGACCACAGCCCTTCGCCGGCGGCCGGCCCGCTCTCGAGCCAGAGAGAATCTGATACAGGTGATCCGCACAGCCATGGCACTGGGCACCTTGGATCTCCTCAAAGCACACGGCCCCGGGGGGCCTCCGCACCCACCACCCCAGCTGCAGCTCTCAGCAGGTCTTGGGTGTGCTGCAAGAGACGCTGGTTCCGGGCCGGCAGCCCAGTCGGCGCAGCGCTTGTGAATGGCCAGTATGTGGTCCCGCCTGCAGAGACAAGCCGGCGCTCACTGCAGGCTTACACCTCCGCAACATCCCCAGCCCCAGGATGAGGGGAACCCATGGGCTTGGGAGTTAGCGTGAGTCACTCTGCATTCCAGGAGTCGGTCAGGGAGGTCAGATTGACTGAGGCCAGGAAGAGCTGTGCTGGGGAGGGGGCAGAAAGGGCCGGCAGGGGAGGGGGCTACCATAGCTGGGCTTGAAGGGTCACAGGGGAGGGGTGTGCAGAGTGGGGAAGAGCCCACGCAGAGGCACAGAGGGAGACCTGGACGACAGGGTGGAGAGGGAGGGAGGAGCCACGGGGTGGGGGGCAGGGTGTGAGAGGAGGGAGGAGCCACGGGTGGGGGCAGGTGGAGAGGGAGGAGCCACGGGGTGGGGGCAGGGTGGGAGAGGAGGGAGGAGACACAGGGCCGGGTGGAGAGGGAGGAGGAGGGAGACACAGGGACAGGTGAGGGAGGGGGGGAGACACAGGGACAGGGTGGAGAAGGAGGGAGGGAGGGGAGACACGGGGACAGGGGTGGGAGGGGGAGGGGGGAGACACAGGACAGGGGGTGGGAGAAGGAGGGAGGGAGGGAGACACGGGGACAGGGTGGAGGGGGAGGGAGGGAGGGAGACCAGGGTCAGGTGGTGGAGAGGGAGGGAGGGAGGGAGACACGGGGACAGGGTGGAGGGAGAGGGAAGGAGGGAGACCAGGGTCAGGTGGTGGAGAGGGAGGGAGGGGGTGATGCAGCTGCGGGTGATGGGCTGACGGGGTGGGGGAGTAGTTGGAGGGGAACCCCCAGGGTGCCATGAGGGCCACTCTCTCTCTGAGCCACAGCCTGGAATACAGGCCAGCTGGGGTCAGGGAATCTGTCCCCACCCCATGGCAGGGTGGCCCAGGGAAGGGGATGAACCAGGGACTTTCTGTGAGCTCCACATCCCAGAATCTTCAAACGAATGGAATTGGAGAGATTTGAACTGGGATTTCCAAAAGCTTGGATGACTCACCATTGCCCCAGCACAACCCGGGATCAAAACCCTTCCTCCTGACCCGATCTCAGAATCCCCTGACTTTCAGAGAGGGCTTCCTCCCCAGGGGTGGGGGGCCTGCCTTCCCCCTTGGATTCCAGGACTGGAGGTGTGCCACCCCCCGTAGGGCTGATGGAGGATGGCCGAGAACAGATTAGGAGAAGGAAGGGGTGCTCTCCATACCCCCTCCAGCCTTGAGGGTCTGAGGATCCAGGCCTACCTCTTGCCTCTGGTCTCCAGGCCCCTGGGCAGTCAGGTACGGGCTGGGGTCCCTCCAATACCAGCCCCTTGGCCCCGAAGCTCTGGTAGGAAGTTAATGGAAGCAGGTAGGGTACGCACCGGATGTCGGGGTAGCTCCGGATGAGAGTCTCCAGGTGCCGCTGGATGTCGTCTTTGTAAGTCTCGCCCAGGATCTCGGCCACGCACTGGATGGCTTGGTCCAACCATGTGGCCTCGGAACCCTGCGAGACAGAACTGCCACCTGCCCCAGGAGCCCTCTCCCCACCCTTGCTCCAACTCCTGCAGGAGCACCAGGTCAGCGAAAGGTCAGCCCTCCCGCAGCGTCAGCCCTCCCGCAGTCACTTCAGCTCGGTGCTGGGACTGCCTCCCCCAAAACAGAACAGGAGCGTGCCTGGGCACCAAGGGCTCGTGCCACACAGCATTCATCTCCCCTCCCATCCCATCCTTCTCGGACAGGAAAACCGAGGCCAGCCTGAGCGTGCTGCTGCTGGGGGCAGACAAGGGGTATGCAGGTGGCACTGGTGCCCCCACTCTGAGGGTTCTGGCCTGAGGTGGGGAACAACTCCCACAGACCCTGACCGTGAGATGGGGCTGTGACCTTCGCCCCTTCCCTGCGGCCCTGCAAACTGTATGCAAATGTCTGCAAAATGCCACCCTCCCACCTGGTTCCCCCCACCCCCCAGCCCCACAGGCGCCCCAGTGCCTGTTTCACCTGATCCAGCGTCAGGAGAACCACTCCCGCCAAAAGCCCTTCTGGCGCTATGGCCCTAGTCACTGCCACCCCTCCCCACACAGAGGCGAGCACCGAGGGGCAGTCAGATGTCGCCCCTACCAGGCCCTGGAAGGTGTCGCTGATGGCCTGGGCATCCAGGCTCATCTTCTGGGAGCCACGCATGCGCTCCATGGCCCAGAACCGCTTCCGTGGCCTCAGCGCCTGTGCCAGGTACTCACGGACCACAAACCGGTGCACCTCCTGCAGAGTCTCCTGGGCGACCCAGGGTCAGGGTCAGGGTCCGAGTCAACAGCCCCAACCATGGGCACAGCCCTGCCAGGGCCCTCCCCCTTGTGGTACCTGTGCCCGTGGCTGGGCCACACGCTGGAGATGCCCGGTGAACCTCACTACCTTGTCCATGAGGGGACGCAGCCAGTCCTGCGTCAGCCAGTCCCTGGTGCACACAACCCTGAAAAGCGGCTGGGGAAAGAGGGGCTGGGAGTCTGCAAATGTGCACTACCCCCCCAACCTAACCCCTCCCTCGAAGCCCAGTGTGCCACTCCTGACCCCTTCCCTCCTGGGTTTGGGCTGCCATTCCCTCTCCTAGCCACAGGTTATATCAGGAGCCCTTTCCCAGAATGCGTCTCCCGGGCCCCACGATCCAGGGGCAGGGTTTGAGTGTGTCCAGTCAGATCTGCTCAGGGTGTGCCCCAGGGAAGCCTGGAGGGACTGGGTGAGGACCCTGGGCCTGGATCCGTGGACCCACCATCCCAGACTTCGGGGGTGACCATTAAGAGCTGGAGACTGAAGTGAGAAGGCAGGCGTCTCCCAGCCGCCCCTGCTCAGCTGGGACCTCACCTGGGTCCCCTGCCCACTACCCTGCACATGCCCATGAGCTGGCCCCTGGAATAAATGAATGCTGCGACCTGGGCCTCCAGGCTCTAGGAAAAAGGGGGTACCTCCTGGGCATGGGAAGTGGGGACAGAGGGCCTGTCATAGTCACCTGCAACTCACGCTGCAAGCCCTGAAGCAGGTGCTTCTGGAAGCTGCAGGTGGCCGCCACCAGGGGCTTCTCCAGCTCCTCTTGAGTTCCTGGGAACCTAGAGAGAATACTGGTCCTGCGGAGTGGCCAGGACCAGCGATGAGGTGGGCAAGGGAGACCAGGCTGGGGAACAGGGCCAGGCACACAGCTCCACTCACTGACACTACAATGTGAAGGGCAGCCCGTGGGGCTCCCCAGTGTAGCTGCCTGCAAGCAGAGTCAAGTGGGGGACAGCACAGAAGCCCAGGGAGCCAGTCACAGAGGGGCGGGTCAGGGGTGGGTGACCCTTTCCCCTCTGGCAGCTCTGGGACAGACCTTCCACCCCTCTTGGTAATAAACTGTGGCATAGCCATGCCTGAACACACCCTACCTTGAGCCTCATAACTGCCCCCTGAACGTGACAATGTCCCTATTTCACTGTTGAGGAAACTGAGGGCCAGGCTACACCTAGTCCCCACAGCCAGGGACACAGTAGGGCAGGCTGGAGTTCCATCAAGGGTTTGGCCAGAGGTTGCCTACCAAGGGTCAGAGAACGCTCCTTGGAGCTGAAACCCCAGGGTCCCAGGGCCAAGGACAAGCCTGGCACAGATTAAGGACAAGATAGTGTTGGAGAAGCCGTGCCTCATGGTCATGCTTTGGATATAGGCAGGCCAAGTTCAAGTCTCAGCTCTGCCACTTCCCAGCTGCACGGCCATGGGCAAGCGGCACCTCCTTTCCAGGCCTGTGCGCTGCACCTGTGCGTGGGTACACTGCACTTGGGAGCAGAGACGTCAGGCAGGGAAGGCATTCACAAAGTGCCTGGCACTCACGAATGCTCACAAAGAGCCAATGGGAACTGAGTCTCCTAAGGCACAGAGTTCCCACAACGCCCCAGGGAGCAGGTGCTCTGATCCTATTTGACAGGTGGCAAAAGAGCTACAGAGGGGAGGTGGCTTGTCCCTGAGCACACAGCCAGCAGGTGGCACAGCTGCTCTCTGAAGTCAGATAAATGAGAAGTCCTTCGGGACATTACAATTTACAAACTTTTGAAAAAGGATGAACCCAGATGGGGTGGCTCAGTCTGTGCCTCCAACGCTGGCTGCCCTCTGTGCTGCTGCATCTGTTGAGGCCTGGCCTGGAGCTCAGGGCACAGAAGGCCGACAGCCACTGGCAGCCCACAGGGAGGGCCTCTGCCTTCTGGGATCACAGAGACCCAGACCTCACCCCAGCACAGCCCAGGGTGCAGGCTGAGGGAGGCTTCCCAGAGGAGGAGGTGTCCCAAAATGGAAGAAATGCAGTCTGGGATGAAGGGAGGGAAAAACGGAACCCAGGGCAGCAGGCAGGGAGCTGGAACCCCTCGACCTCTGCTCAGCCTTGAAGAGCCGCCCACACTCCCCCAGGGCCTCCGCTCAGATGGACACACACACACGCACACGGCACACGCCCTTCAGCTCTGACACACACACCACTCAGTTCCACCCCTGTACGCACATGCACACACACCTCTTAGCTCTGACACACACACACACACCCCTCAGCTCTGCCAAACACACGCACATCACCCACCCTCAGCTCTCCACACATGCACACACACACGCACCCTCAGCTCCATCACGCACACACACACACACCTCAACTCTGCTGCACACACGCACACACACTCCTCAGATCCACCAACACACAGACACACACACACTCCTCACCGCTGCCCCCTCCACGCGCGCGCACTCCCTTCCATCCAGTTTCCCGGCGCTCGCGCGCCCCCTGCTGGCCACACCGCGCCTGTGCAGGAGCGGGCGAGCCCTACCTGAGCTCCTCGCAGGCGTTGATGTAGGCGCACAGGTGGGGCTCGCTCACCGCCTCTGACGCCAGAAAAGCCTTTTCAAACCTAGGACGGGATCCACAGAGCCTTTGGGGACCCTCCCTGGCTGCGCGATGACCCTGGGTCCACCTTCCCAATCAGGTCCCTACGCAGACGACTCCCTCCCACCTGCAGAGCACACCAGGCTGGGTCGCTCCCCTACTTAGGATGCGTCCGCACCTGGGCACGAAGAGGCCGAGCGCCCGCGTGCAGATTCGCAGGGTGGTGGCCTCCAGCTCCGCGGAGATGGCGCCGGCCGCCTTCACGTGCTCAGCCACGAGCTGCGAGCGAAGTCCTGCACTGAGCGTGCGTCCCAGCCGAAGACCTGAAGCCGTGGCTCCCCTGGTAGCCCCGCCACACCTCCAGCCCGCCCCGCTGTGTCTCTCAGTCTTGGCTCCTCCAGCTTTCAGCCGCCCATCCAAGAGTCAACTCCTGCAAACTCCCACCCTGCAGCCTCCCAGCCCGTCGGCGCGCCGGGGGTCCCCGATTTCCCCCCACGTGGGGCCTCAGGCTCCCATCTAACGGAAGGGTTGGTTGGGACTGGATAGGAATTCGTTCTGGGTATCGCCACCGCGTGCATGAGGCTTGAACACACGCCCCTTCTCAGCCCCTGCTCCCGGCCGCACCATGTGGACGTCCATGGAGAGCGGCGCCCGGTAAAGGCCCTGCAGCACCTCGGGGTCCTTGGCGGCTGCCCAGTGACTCTGCTCCAGCTGCAAGATGTTGTCGAAGCAGCTTGTGATCTTGGCCTGCGGGAGAAGGGATGGGGCCGCGGTGAGACCCTCCCGGACTCCGTCCCGCGCCATCCGGGATTAGGGCCGCCCTGTCGGATCACAAGCCCGCGCCGGGGGCCACAGGATGAACCAGCGCCAGCTCTGGCGGCGGCTAGCTTGGGCGCCGCACATCCCCCCAGGGCCCGCCCCCTCCAGCCTGACCCGCCCGGCCTGACCCGCCCGGCCTGACCTCCAGGAAGCTGGTGTAGTCGCTCTCCAGTCGGGCCCACACGTCGGGCGCCAGGAGCGGGGGCAGGGGCTCGGCGGGCAGCGTCAGGCCCGGGGGGCCCAGGAAGTCAGGACTGGAAGGCAGGGCAGGGGGCTGAGGGCGGGCGCGGCTCTGATGCAGCAGCAGCTGCCCCTCTTCTGGCCAGGCTCAAAGTCTAACGCTAATCCCGAACCTGGGCATCTGTACACACACACACACACACACACACGCACACGCACACACGCCTCCAGGATGCCATGCCACACTCCCTCCCCGGAAGCCTCTGACAGCTGGGTTCCTGCTTTCCTGCAGAATGCTGAAGGGCGGCTACCCAGATGGCACTCCACCTTCTCCTCAAACACAGCTCAGGGGTCGGTCAACCTCCAATCCACAGCAGGGAGGCCCACAGCGGGGCGGACATAGGTCTGACCCCACACAATTTAAAGATAAAATTAAGGGGGGGCGGACCTCCAGGCAACCCCCCCCCCCCCCCCACCTCCGCGGGCGCTCCTGCCGGTGGGGCTGGGAACCGCTCCGCAGGGGACGCAATCCACCCTCACCCCAGGCACAGAGCTAGAGGCGGCCGCTCCCCGCAGGCTGCACGCTGAACCCAGACGCCCGTCCAAAGGGGATAGCACGGCTGAACCCACGCCAAGCGCTGCGAACCCGCGGGGGTTGAGTCCGGTCTAGCGGGGTGCCCTTTTCGCTTTTCTTTTGTTTCTTTTTTCCTTTTTTCCTTTTTTTTTTTTTTTTTTTTTTTTTTTGAGACTGAGTCCTGCTCTGTCGCCCAGGCTGGAGTGCAGTAGCGTGATCTCGGCTCACTGCAACCTCCGCCTCCCGGGTTTAAGTGATTCTCCTATCTCAGCCTCCGGAATAGCTGAGATTACAGGTGCATGCCACCATGTCTGGCTAATTTTTGTATTTTTGTAGAGATGGGGTTTCACCGTGTTGGCCAGGCTGATTTCGAACTCCTGACACGTGATCAGCCCCCTCAGCCTCCCAAACTGCTGGGATTACAGGCGTGAGCCAGGGTGCCTGGCCAAGATGTGCCCTTTTCTGATGCGCCCAAAGGCACTTGGTGGACCAGCACAGGCCCTACTCCCATGGGAACCTCCCCGCGGAAACTTTTCAAATTCTGGAACTGTGTATGCGTGGCCCCTAGAAAACCTGGGGCGGGAGCGCCCCACGGCCTAACCCGCCGAGGAAAGCATGTCGAAGTTCTCGGCTCTCAGCCCTCTCCCAGGGAGGGAACAGAGAAGAAAGGCCTGGTGCTCCTCAAAGTGGGCTCCCCAAGGCCTGCGGGGGAAGCGGCAGCCGTCCTCACCACTTGGCGCCCTGGCCGAGGCTCACCTGCCGTAGACGTTGGCGGCCCAGTCCAGCAGGACATACAGCTGCTCGCAGCCGCGGGCGTCGTGCGCGAGTTCCTGGAGGCGCTGGGCCACCGCGCTGTGGAAGGCGCGAAGATAGACTTCCCACGCCGGAAAGCCGGCCGCCGCGTAAGCGGGCTGCACCTCCTGCCGCACCTTCTGCAGATCGCGGCGAACCAATACGCCCAGCTCTGCCAGAAGCTGGGCCAGACCCGAGGCGCCCTCCGCCGCCGCAGAGGAACACCCCGCGCCCGGCCGCCGCACGCGCTCCTGGGCGCTCCGCCGCACCGCCTCCTCCCAGTGCTGGCGCCAGTGGCGCGGCGTGCGCAGGAAGTCGCCGTCGTCGGGGGGCGAGGGGTGGGCCTCCTCCTCTGCGTTCACCACGCGGGCCACCTCGGCCAGCACGGCCGCGTCCACGCCGTCGCTGCCCAGCGTTTCGCCCACGATGGCGCTGAGCTCGGCTGCCAGCCCGTCGTAATGCAGGCACACGTCCATGGCGCGCCGCGCGAAGGCCGTAGGGTCCTGCTCAAAGGTGCGTGAGGCCTTCTCCGCCACCAGCCGTGTCTCCAGGCGCAGAAGCTGTTCGAAGGCCGCCAGCAGTTGCCGTTCAGTAATGAGGTCGGCCACGGATTTGCCTTCTGCACAGGCAGGCGAGAAGAGCGGCGGTGAGAGAGACCGCCCCAAGACCCCGACCTGGACAAAGACCTGCAGGCCGCGACTCAGTCCATCGGGGCTGGATTGCCTGGCCTCTACCAGATGCCCCAGCCCAGCTGAAGGCCTGCTCCAGGAACAACAGACCCCAGCTGCCAGGAACCCTTCCTTGGAGTCACCTTTGAAGAGGCAGACCCTGGGGCCCCAAGCCTGGCTGAACAGAGCAATTTGGGTCGACCCCTACCTTCCGCCTGGCTCCCATGCCCACCTTCCACTCCTAGCTGAGCCGGACCCGATAGCCTCATGCTCAGCCCTGACTGCAGGTCTAATAGGGTCGGAGCTCAGGCGGGGCGTTTCCTGCCCTGTCCAGCTTTACATTCCTGCTGCTCCCGGCTATCCGCCAGCCTCCACCCAACAGGAGCTCTCCACCTCTACTGTGTCCCCCTCTTCCCAACCCCAGTGTATCCTCCTCTGGCCAATCTCCCTGACCTTCCCCCCGGGTACCTCTGCGAGCCTTGCACTCTCTGCCACCCTGTGATCAGCTATGTGCATGGCCCTAGTTTGGCCAGGAGCCAGGCTATGACAGGTCATGGAGAGGCTGGGTATCTATGGCCGGCCATGCAGATCTGGGTTCAAGTCCCATTCTCCATGCTGTGAGACTTGAGGCAAGTCACTCCACCTCTCTGAGCCTCACTTTTCTCATCTGCCCAATGGGGGGGCTCCCATTGCAGAGATATTGCAAGAATTTAAAGTGCAATTGTCCAGCTGGGCATGGTGACTCACGCCTGTAATCCCAGCACTTCAGGAGGCCAAGGCAGGAGGATTGAGTGAGCTCAGGAGTTTGAGACCAGCCTGGACAAAATAGCAAGACCTTATCTCTACAAAAAATAAAAATAAATTTAAAAAATTAGGCCAGGCACAGTGGCTCCCGCCTGTAATACCAGCACTTTGGGAGGCCAAGGGGGCAGATCACGGGGTCAGGAGCTCAAGACCAGCCTGGTCAATATGGTGAAACCCCATCTCTACTAAAAATACAAAAAAAAAAAAATTTAGCCAGGTGTGGTGGTGGGCGCCTGTAGTCCTAGCAACTTGGGGTCCTGAGGCAGAAGAATCACTTGAACCATGGAGGTGGAGTTTGCAGTGAGCCAAGATTGCACCACTGCACTCCAGCCTGGGCAACAGAGTGAGACTCAGTCTCAAAAAAAAAGAAAGAAAAAAAAAATTTAGCCAGGTGCAGTGGCTCACACCTATAGTCCCAGCTACCCAGGAAGCTGAGGTGGGAGGATCGCTGGAGCCCAGGATGTCAAGGTCACAGTGAGCTATAATTGCACCACTGCATGCCAGCCTGGGTGACAGAGTGGAGACCCTGTCTCAAATAAATAAATAAGTGCACGTGTCTGGGGCCGGGGTTTGGGGAGCCAGTGAGGAGAGCCTTTCCAGAAGCCTCAGCTCAGCTGCCCCAACCTCTCACCCGTTTCCTTTCATATTTAGTGTTGTTTCTGAGGCCCTTACCTGCCTCAGGTTTCAGTTCCTCAGATGCTGCCCCAGTGGATGCCTGCTGGCTGACACCATTCATGACCCTCGAGGGCACCTCAGGAGTGGCCTGGAAATGGCCGGCAGCTGGGCCCTCATCCAGGGCTTGCCGGAAGGACCGGAACAGGGAGCAGGAGCTTTGCCGGAACAGGCCCGTATCCTCCTTGGAGACCTGGGTCAAAGCCCGTTGGCTGGCCCGGGAGAAGGCCTGCCTCAAGGTGCCCAGGCCCAGTCTTGTGCCATCCTTGCAGTGGGCATTGGGCTCTTTCCTGCTGCTTGTTCGCCGGGAGCCCTGAGCTGGAGTCTGCGACTCCTCAGCCTCCTTGGGACTTTGCAGCTCCAGCCCAGGAGTCTCTGTCTGTGGCGATGGCATCTTGGCAGCAGGAGAGCTGAGGGCAAGAAGGAGTGGCCACAGGAGCAGACGCAGAAACGTGGTGTGGCCCTGTGGGGCCTGGCCACACCCAGGGGCTTGGTCAAGGAAGGCTCCCCAGAGGAGGCAGCCCTCAGGCTATCAAAAAGAAGCATCACCAGGCCACTCTCTTGGCGAGAGCCCTCAGTGTGCCAGGACGCAGCTGGGCACGGAGATATAGACAGCTGCTTCCATCAGGAGCCTTTCCTGAGACCATCCCCCAGAGAGGGTCTCCCCAGGTGCCCACCATCACTTAGCCCGCCAGGCCAGACCCTCCCATTAGAATTGGAGAAGGGCATTGACATGCAGGTTCTGGGGCCCAGTCCAGACCACAGCTCACAACACGCGAGGGCAGGACCAGCAGCCACATCTAGGCCTTCCCAGATGTTAGGTCCTGAGGCCTAAAACCCTCCCCCTAGCCCCCACCAGCTCCTTCACTGCCCTCCAGGTTCCTCAGCTCACCCCACTTCAGCCCAAAAGGCCTGACTACTTTGGCTCAAAGGGGAGGGCAGGGACCCCCATGAGAGCCCACCCCTTCCCCGGGTGTCGCAGAGTCTGCTGAGGTGGTGTGGGGCCTGAGGGCAGTGGCCAAGGCCACCCTGCTGCTTATCATGGCTGTGCAGCCGCAGGGCCAGCAGCAGGAGGAACCTCGGGTCTATATTTAACCAGGGACTGGGGGGTTCTCAACGCTGTTTCCCACCCATTGCCTCTCCCCCTCCCCCCACTCCTCCCCCTCTTCACCATAGCGTGCTCTGGCCCCTCTCCAACACAGGGAATGGGGGGGTGTCCCAGGGACATGGGAGTGGCTGAGCTGCGGCTCCTCCTGCTCCCCCAGGGCCCTCAGCACCCTGGCCTGCCAGGCTCCACCCACACCCCCTTCCAGCCTTAGGAGCTGTTGCTTTCTTGGCTTTAGGTTGGGAGAGAGGAGGGGGCCTCCCAACCACCCCATTGCACAAGCTGGGCCATGGGTTGGGGAGGGCATTAGGCTGGCAAAGCCTCACTTTCCCCTGGGAGAAACTGGGGCCAAAGGAGGGCTGAACCTGCCCCTAACCCAGCCCCAGGGCCCCCCACCCAGGTGCCAGGACCAAAGCCCCCGCCTGACCCACCACCCAACCCTTGGGTGACATCAGGCAGGAAGTGTGCCTTCCCAGGCCCCAGTTTGCTGGAGTGGAATGACACCAAGGGGAGGAGGGCCCAGACCCCCACCCACCCTCACCCTCCAGCAAGGTGCCTGCTGGGTCCAGCAGAGGCCTACCTACCTTCCTTCTAAGCAGCTGGATGGAGGCCGGGTGGGAGAGGCAGCCAGGTGATTGATGGGGCTTATCAGCCCCGCCCTGGCCACAGGTTGTCGACTTCCCCCAGCGCCAGGGTTCAGGGACGCTGCCTGATTCGGACGTGACCCACACACTTTAGGGCGCCATCTGTCCCAGCCTCCATTCCCCTCTCTTTCCCTGGTGCCCCTCCGTGCTTGGCATGGGGGCTGGCGCCCAGCCAGGCAGGGGTGTCGTGAAGAGAACGGTTCGGTTCGGCACACGCCGCATCCACCCCTGTCAAGGGGACCGAGGCCGGGATGTGGAGCAAGGACAAGTCAAGCCCCGCCGCCTTGTTTGGGAGAGCTCACACTTAGTAAGCACCTACTGTGTGCCCACGTCGATGCCTGACACAGATCAGCTACTGTGACAACAAAGTTAGGGGGTGTCGTTTGCCTGTTTCACAGACGAGGAACCTGAGGTTCACAGAGGGACAGAGTCTGCCCCTGGCCACGTAGCTCAGGCTGGGGAACCTGCCCGGAGCTGGGAGCAGAGGCAGGACCGGCCGTGTCTCCACCTCCAGGGAGTCAGAACTGCTGCCCAGAAGCCCCCCTCCCAGCGGGGAGACCCAAGGTGTCAGCAGGTCCCAGAGTGGGGTCAGATGTGGAGGTCCTCTCCCAGGAAGCCTAGAGGAAGGCCAGGAAAGGAGGGGCAGCTGTGCGGGTGAATCTCTTAGGAGGTTACATAGGCAGAGGCATGGGGGCCACTCAGCCTGCTTTTGTCCCATACCAGAACTTCGCTGAAGGGCCAGTAAGGTCCCTAGATGGCCTCTCAGCCTCCAGTCATGCCTCATTTGACCCTGCAGCTCCCAACAGCTTCCCAAGCCATTCTTGACCTTCCCAAAGCAAAAGTCCAGCCAGGTCACTCCCCTGCTTTAAGCCCTTCCGTGGTTCCCTCCTGCCCGAGCCCCACAGCCAGGCATCCATCCTGGAACCTCCTTCCTCCACCTCTACCTCTCACTGATGACAGCTCACCAGCTTTCCCTGGGGTTCACGGACAACCTGCATCCCACCAGCCTCCTCCCTGTCCTCCCAGCTGCACGCCCAGCCTCCAGCCTCCCCTCCGGCCATTCCCTTTTCTGCACCCTGTTTGTTCGCCAAATCTGACCTGGATTTCAGGACCTCGGGGTTCAGATGCCTCGCACCACCTGCCGTCACCATCTATCCGCTCAGTGGGCACTCGGCATTGTCCCTGTGATGATGTGGCCCTCCTGCACTGGCCTGGCAGCCTCTGTCCATCTACCCCTCTCACCCCAGAGCACAGCCTGGAAGCAGGGGGAACATCGGTGTCAGGGTCGCCCTGCCTCCTCTGACTGGCCTGCCTGCTGCCATGCTGGCGCCTGCGGGGCTGAGACCTGAAGGCCCCTCTCAGCTCCCTCCTCCACCCCCCAAGGCTCTCGCCTGGCCTCTCCCTGTGCCTGCCTCCCCACACCCCCATGGACTGTCTCTGGCTCTTTTCTCTCTGTGTCTCTCTGTCTCCAGTGCCTGGAGGGTCCAGGGGGCCCCCGGCTCCTATGCTGCTGCTCCCTGATTGCAAGACCCTGGAGACTGAGGCCCGGCCTGAGCCCCGGGTCCCACTCTCCCCAGGTCAGGCTAATACACCCTTTGTGGGGCCAGCAGCAGGGGCAAGAAACCACCCAGAGACACAGTCACTGAGACCTCCCACCCTGGGCCACCCTAGCTGTGACCGGGAAGTCAAGTCTGAACTTCCCCACCCTCCCTACCCCCAGCCTCAGCTTCTACTCCCCGCTTTCCCCTAGACCTTCCTTCCCGTAGCTGCTCCTCATCCTCCCGATCACTCTGCAGTGCTCACCCACCCCCCAGCCTCCCCACCTACGCTGGGACTGGGCCATCGCTCCACTCCTCAAGGCTCCAAAGGAGCCTCTGCAGGTGACTGCCTGTACTGTGCCCTGGGCTGAAGCCCTGTGCAGGGCTTGTCCCCTCTCACTTCCGCACCTGCAATCCACCTTCACCTGATCACAGCCTCCGAGCCGCTCTCCTTTCCAGGCCCCCTCGATGCTGCCTCCTAGGATCAGTCATAAGAATCTTGCCTAGCAGTTAGAGCGGTCGTCGACCAACCTCCCCAACAGCACTTGGGTTTTCCTGTTGAGAGGGGGACTGAGGGACAGGACTAACTGGATTTCCTAGTCCGACTAAGAATCCCTAAGCCTAGCTGGGAAGGTGTCTGCATCCACCTTTAAATACAGGGCTTGCAACTTAGCTCACACCCGACCAATCAGGTAGTTAAGGGAGCTCAAAAAATGCTAATTAGGCAAAAAGAGGAGGTAAAGAAATAGCCAATCATCTATCGCCTGAGAGCACAGCGGGAGGGACAATGATCGGGATATAAACCCAGGCACGTGTAAAACCAGGTTTTGAAAGCTTTCCTTGTAAGCTTTCCTTTTCATTCCAGCCCCTGCAAATAAGGAAAATGACAAGGATGTTTGTTCTCACCACTCCGAATCCTCAACATTTGCCTGGAAGAACAAGTTAAGGCAATAAGGAAAGAAAAATAGATAAGAGATGTAAACACTGGGAAGGAGCAGATTAAATTGTCATTATTCATAGGTGATATGATTGTTGGCTTAGAAAATCTGAGACTGAAAATTATCAGAGATAATAAAAGGGTTTAGTAAGTTTTGTGCATTGATTATGTAAATACAAGCAATACCTTTCCTGTACCCCAGCAAAGCCTATTAGAAAGAGACACTTAAAAGACTTCCCTTCACAGTAGCAACAAAGCATAAGCCCCCTGGACCACCGCTGCCCTCAGAAGCAGCACAGCTCCATCCTTAGCTTGGCATTCAAGGCCTATCCTAATGACCCCTCTGGCTTCAGTTCCAACTTATTCCCTTGCTCTGATCACTCAGAAGCACCCACCTCTCCTCCACACCTTTGCACTCTGCCTACAGTGAGCTCGGCCCCTTCTTCTTCAGTTGTCAACTCATTGAAGGCTCAGCAGAAATGGCTCCTCCCGTGAGAAGCCTTCCCCGACCAGCTGAGCCCATACCATGTTCGGCACCTCCTGCTCTGGGCCTGATCCCAGCCCTGGGCACACCTGCCATGACGGAGGGACGGTTACAGAGCCTGGAGACGAGGAGACTCGCAAGGCAGGGAGTGAGCCTGACTCAGCCCCCAGCCATGGCTAGTACTTGGCACTTTCCCAGGGAAACGAGGCAAGTGAATCTGACGCCTGAGTGTGAGCGCACGGGTATATGCACACTTTTCTGGGCATCGGTTTTGCACATCTGTGTGTTGACCTTTGAGTGTCTCCTTGTATGTGCGTGACTCTGCCCTGGAGTGTCCCCAGAGGGTCTGCCAGTGCTTCTGAGTCTGTGTCTGTGCCCGCATGCCCATCTTGGTGTCTTCTACGTCTGTCCATGCTTCTGCCTGAGCGTGTCTGCCTGTGTATCGGGTGTGTTTGTGTTCACTGTGACTTGCGCTGGCCTTCTGGCCTGGTCAGCCCGGGCTCTGAGTAAGGCCCTTGGCCTGGAAGGCCACATGCAGAGCCAAAACGGTCCTCAGGCCCATTAGTCGCCACCCCCGCCCGCCCATAGCACCCCATGCCCTCCTGCTCCACTTGGCCAGAACATACCTGCTGAGCACGCAGCCTTGGCCCAGGAAGAACGCAGCCACCTGAGAAGCTGGCCCGTGGGGCCCTCAGAGCCGGGCCCTGGCCATCGGGCCTCCAGAGTGGCCCGAGCGAGTGACCAACAGCTGGGACTTCCCAGCCATGGTCAGTGCCTGCCAGGCCCACCCAGCCCCACCCACAGCCCTACCCTCCGCCAGGACCCCATACTTTCACTTTCAGAGAAGTTCCCACTTCCTTTTCGTTCCGGAGGCAGTCACTCCAGCTTTCCATTCCAGACAGCTCAGGGCTCCGTCCAAAGGTCAGAGAACAAGGGAGGGGAAGGTTGTAGAGCTCAGCACTCAGGGCTCGAGGCAGCAGGGGTGGACACTGCCTGCCACCTGAAACACCACCAGCCCCTCCTTTGCTCAGGGGCCAGCGGAAGCAGGCGCTGGCCTCGGGCGACACTCAGCCCACAGTGCCGGAGCCCAGAAGGACCCCTCCCTCCAGGACAGAGGCTCTAGCACAGGGCCAGTCCATCGAGTTCATCCCAAGACCCCCGCACCCTGCCTGTCAGGGAAGCTCATGGTGACAGTGAAGGAAGCAGTTGAGAGCCGCAGGCCGTTCCTCGGGGCTTCAGGAGCTGGAGGAAGGGACGGGGTCCTAGGGACAGACAGGGCACACTCAGGAGTGAGGAGGGACGGCATCCTGGGCAGGGGCAAAGGTGTGGAGGCGGGGGGGTCAGGCGGGCAACTGCTGCGGGGCGGGCCACTGACACTTCCCAGAAGAGGCAGCCTCACCCCTGCATAGGGGGATTCCGCAGCGAGCGTCCTAGGAAACAACTCAGGGAAAATCCAAGGAGGACAGATCCAGGCCTGTCCCAGTCTGGGTTGGGGCCACAAGGGTGTGCGACAGGGCCGCCTCAGGGTACTGAGGTGGGTAGAAATAGTCTCCTGCGCCAGCATCCTCTGGCTGAGGGCAGGGGTAGCCCCGAGCACCAGCGTCCTAGGGCTGAGGGCAGGGATGGCCCCATGTACCCAGCATCCTAGGGCTGCCACAACAGACCAGGGACTGAGCCTCAACAACAGACGTTTATTCTCTCCCCGTTCTGGAAGCCCGAGGCCCGCGATCAAGGAATCTGTGGGGCTGGTTTCTCCTGGGGCTCTCTTCTTGGTGTGTAGGTAGCCCCCTTCTTCCTGGGTCTCCACAGGGTCTTCCTCTTTGTATCTGCATCCATATTTCCTCTTCCTGTGGGTTGGGGTCCACCCTAATGACTTAACTTTAACTTATTACCTCTTTAAACGTCACATGTTTTTATAAGGAATTTTCCAAATAAGGTCACATTCTAAGATTGGACTTTTTTTTTTTTTTTGTGACGGAGTCTCTCTCTGTCACCCAGGCTGAAGTGCAGTGGCACGATCTCGGCTCACTGCAACTTCCGCATCCTGGGTTCAAGCGGTTCTCCTGCCTCAGCCTCCTGAGTAGCTGTGATTACAGGCACGTACCACCACACCCAGCTAATTTTTTGTATTTTCAGTAGAGACGGGATTTCACCATGTTGGCCAGGCTGATCTTGAACTCCTGACCTCAGATGATTGGCCAGCCTAGGCCTCCCAAAGTGCTGGGATTACAGGCGTGAGCCACTGCGCCCACCCAACATACAAATTGTATAGGGGAAAAGCAGCCTGTAACAGACCAGAAGGTGCCTGAGATGCTGCAGTACCATCTGCAGAGGGGCCAAATTAGACTCAAAGATGCCAGCACCTCCTCCAGGAAGCCCACCAATTAACCACTCGAGTCACTACCCTGAGCCCTGGGTTCCCTCTGTGAAGTGGGGTGCTAAGAGTCCCACTTCAAGCCCGAGAGGTGCCCAGCAGCCCACAGGCCCGTCCTCCCAGCCCAGTCCCACCTGCTGGCCTGTCCCACCCCACCTGTCTCCAACAGGCAGAGATGAGGGGTAACAAGGAATAAGTACAACTGAACAGAGACAGCCGGGGTCCAAGGTAGCTGGCTTCCCAGGGCTCAGTGACCTGCTCTCGGCCACGCAGCTGCCCAGAGAGGCCAGGACTGCAACCTAGGTCTCTGGTTCTGTGGACTGGGTCTTCCCATAGAGCCAGGCCCTGGTGGACTGGAGACGTCCTGGTCTGATCCTCCCACCTCCCAGCTCACAGGGCATATTGGGGTCCTGGGACCTCCCATTATGGGTCGCTCCATTCAGTACACAGGTGCCTGAAAAGCTGGTGGTGCCCAGGGCCTGAGGACTGCTCTTGGACGTCCCCTCAACTCCCATCTGCTCCCCACAGCCACCTGAGCCTGTGCCCGCTCTCAGCATGAGGTTACAATGTTTCTTTCATGCTATGTCCATGTTTTTCCCAAAGTTTCTCAGTAAAATCCCTTTGGAAAAACCCAGCCTTGTCTCAAAGAAGCCTGGGGCACAGGGTTGGTCTGGGGTCAGGAGAAGGCAGGGTGAGGGGCCATTAGGAGAGAAGAGGCCTAGCCAGGGACACTGACTAGAGGGCAAACCCAGCTCCCCACGACCTTGGAGAGGCACTTCAATTTCTGAGCCTCAGTTTGCTCCTCCAGAAAATGGGATTGTCTCAGGATCAAATGGGTTCACCTTGGCTGAGGACCTGGCTCCCAGGTACGGAAGGCCAGGGAGCAGGACCCCCACCACCAGATGCTTGCCTGACCTGGGGCTTGCTGAGAGGCCAGGCTGTCACACCTGGGGTGTAGAAGCCAGAGGCGGCCGCTTCCACCCTCACTGCTGCCCCAACCAGCGTTAAGCGCAGCGTGAGCCCCGGAGGCCCAGGCTCCCTCCCTAACCCGAAGCGGCTGCGGGCAGCGGGCAGCAGACCACTCTGACCCAATCCCATATTGCAGGGTTGAGGTGGGAGCCCGGGCGGTGGCCCCAGCCGACGCCAGGGGGAGTCGCAGGACGACTCCCGCGGGGCGTCCCCAGGTCGCCGCGTGCCGGGGGCGGGGCCTGGCTGGCACCGCCCCTGCCGTCTGCGCCCGCGGGCTCTGGGCGTGGCTGGGCGTTCTGGGCCCCGGCGGGCGGTGAAGGGCGTCGGGGTGTCGCAGTGCCCCGCGGTCGGGCCTCCGCATCCCTGGCTCAAGGGCACGCAGGGTCGTGGGACCTGCGGCGGGGGTCGCCTCCGCCCGAAAGCTGCCCTGCTGGACTGGGCGCGCCAGCGGGGCGCTGTGGGCGCCCTGGGACTCCGCCGGAGCTCGGGCGCTCGGCTGTGTCAGTCCCGGGCAGTCGCGTTGAGATAGGTGTCATAATTCTCGCCCTGGAGCCATGTGGTGAGGATTAAATCTCAGTAAATGGTGTCATCGCCCAGTCACATGCCGGCCTCCTGCACCCTACATCCCACGTGTCTGCAAGGCATCCTGCGAAATGTCTGTCCCCTTTCACAAAACTACCCCCATGTCCCCCATCCCGGTCAAGCCTCTCCCTCCCTGGCTCCAGAACCGACAGGAAGGACTGGAGGAGGACCGAGAGGACTGAAGGCCCGCCCCACCCCTCTCCTGAGCTATAGTCCAGGGGAGAGTCCACGCGGTCCTGAGGTTTAAAACTGAAGCAGGCTGCCAGGCCAACTTCCGCACCTTGCCTCCCACCTTTCCCGCATTGGGGGAGGGGGGGTGGCTATTTTTAGAAGGAAGGCTGTGGGAGAAAGTGCATCTTCCTCCTGGAGGCTGGCGAGGCAGCAGGAAAGCACAGAGGGGCAGTGTCTCCTGCCTCCCTCCGCTCATGGGTCCCTGGCACCCCTGCCTGGGCCACAAAAGGGCCATGGACTTGGCAGAGCTGACATTTATGGAGTGTCCCACTGCCCGGCCCTAAGCTTCCTCAGCCTGGCTCAGGCTGGCTAAGGGCAGAGGGCCAGGTTGGGGGGACACACCTGGGGAGGGGGCCCTGGGCCACACTCAGGGCTCTGCTCCCATGCCAGCTGCAACCAGGCAGCACGGCTCCCCTCCTGCAGTAGAACGGAGCCCAGAGACAATATCGATGGACCCAGTGGAGGGACAGGACCCCCACATAGGGCAGGAAGAGATGCCTGCTCAACCAACCTCTGATGTGGGTTCTGTGGCAGCCTTGTGGCTTCCTGACCTCAGGGATTCCCTTCGTAGCCCCTAGCCTTGGGCACCTTGCTTTGCACCTCAGTTCCCGCACGTGCAAAGCTTCACAAGAATTTAACGAGATCCAACCTGGAATGGTGCGGCCCACCCCAGGTGCCACTGCTGTGCTTTCCTGCACCCAGGTCCAGCCCTGGCCCCAAGGAGGTCCCACGGAGGGTTGGAAGGCCACTTGGAGGAGGCTGGTTCTGCCTTGGGCAGCCTTGGCCGAAGCAGAGAGAGGGTCCCTGGGCAGAGGCACCAGCCACAGAGCCAACTCAGCCCTGCCCAGCCTGCCCCAGTGCCATGCGCAAGTGGTCACCTAAGAGGTGCTCTGGACTGACCAGCCTGGGCTTGGAACTGAGGCCCTCACCTGGAAGGCCACAGGCAGAACCCAAACTGTCCTCAGTCTCTTGCATCCCCATCAAGTGTGCCTGCTGGCCACCAGGAAGTGCCTTTATTTCTGCTTCAAACCACGGAACAAAGCGGGGTGTGATCCAGACCTGGGCCATGGGCAGGAGAGGGCAGGGCTGCAATCCTGGTCAGACCTGGTGAGACAGGAAGCAGCCTCTGGACTCTCCCGGCTGGGCAGGCCCGGCCCTCCTGTGCACCAGCCCGGCCACCCTGGGGCAGAAGCCCTCAGCAGTCAGACAGCAGAGCCCAGCCACGTCCTTGTCCTATCCCCGGGCCGGGGCTGCTGGGTCCTCAGAGCAGGCACACTCTCTGCCAGCAGCATCTGCAGCTTTCCCTGGTTCTCCAGGCAGACTCGGGGAGGAGGCTGCAGAAACATAAAGGCGGCCGTGTTGGTTGTGGGGGGTACTGCAGCCTGAGAGGATCCCAGGGGGCCTGAAATGAGCCTTTGGCAGGCAACTGGGCTGGGGCAGGCCAGGAGGTCCCCTTGGGTGATGAGAAGCAGGAGGGGTGCTTGGCCAGGGAGGCAGAATGAGGCTGGGCTCTGCAAGCAGGGGCAGCTCCCACATCCACCAGATGAAGGGGTGGCAGAGGGAAGGGAAGTCCAGGGCAGACTCAAGGACCTCCCCAGAGCCCAAGTCCCAGGGGTTACCCAAGGGGTGGTACCTGATGCTGTCTTGGGCCCTGGGCAGAAACTGACAAGAGGTCGAGGGGGCTTTGGGCAGAGGTGGGGGTTATGGGTCCAGACAGATAACCTCTTCTGGCCACACTGAAAAGGGGGTTTCCTGGCCAGTACAGGCTGAGGTCTGGGGATGGGAGAGGGCAGACAAGGTGCTGAGCAGCACCAGCTGTGGCCGAATTCACTTCCTCCTCAGGGACTCCCAGGGGTCTCCAGGGGACAACATCTCCCAGGGCACAGCTCATGCCCCTTGCTCAGTCTCCAGTGGCCCTCAGAGCCGTCCACAAGGTCCCCATGGCCCAGCCTGCTGCCTCTCCTGCCCCTTGGGCCTGGCCCAGGCTGCCCCCTCCTGCTCACACAATTCTCCCGAAGCTTCAGCCTTTACTTATTTATTTTTGAGACGGAGTCACTCTATCGCCCAGGCTGGAGTGCAGTGGCGTGATCTCAGCTCAGTGCAACCTCCGCCTCCAGGGTTCAACTGATTCTCCTGCCTCAGCCTCCTGAGTAGCTGGGATTACAGGTGCCCGCCACCATGCCTGGCTAATTTTTATATTTTTAGTAGAGATGGGGTTTCACCATGTTGGCCAGGCTGGTCTCAAACTCCTGACCGCAAGTGATCCGCCTGCCTCAGCCTCCCAAAGTGCTGGGATTACAGGCATGAGCCACTGCGCCTGGCCTGCTTTCAGCCTTTAAGCAGGGCACCTGCAGCCGGATAGAGCCTGCCAACAGGCCAGCCCATCCCCCACCACGTACACCTGCACCCTCACAGCCTCCCAGGCCCTAGTGAGCAAGGCACACTTGCTCCAAAGGTGATGACAACGAGCAAGCACTGGATGATGAGGGGCGAGAATGTGGCATCACTCATTCAACAAGTATGCAACGTGCACCTCCCGTGCCCAGGCCTGCGACTGAGAGTGGATGAAGGACCTCACTTGCTGGTGGGAGGGAGGACGGTGTTAGGGAGAGGGGTCAAGGCCAGGCAGCACCTAGAGCCCCAGGCAGAGGCTCCAAGGCGGGCGGAGGATGGAGTGTGAACAGGCAGGAGGCAGGAAGGCCTTGTCTGCCAGAGCCGCAGGAAGCACGCCCTGCTTCTGACCCTGGCAGTGGCCACTTCCTCCTCTCAACACCCCCACAGGTGCCCTCACTTACCAGCAGCAGCCTGGCTCTGAGAGGGGCCCCTCTGGGCATTCTCCAGGGGCCAGCGCAGCTCCCCGCTCTCCACAGGGTCCGCCTCACTGGGCTCCACCACGATTGAGGGCAGCCGCTGGCCCAGTCGAGGGCCCTTCTCCCGGGCACCCGCCACAGCCTGCAGGGAGGATGGGCAGAAGCACAGCCATGCCAGGCCTGGTACTCCTGTTCCCTCCCACCCCCGTCCTGCACACTGCCCCACTAGGGGGATCAGAGACCCTTCCCACCCAGTCCCTAGGGCAAGGATGGGCACATGTGTGTTCGCACAGGAACATCCCTGAGACGGGTCCCAGGCCCTACCAGGTCCCAACCCTGGCGGTAGGGTGCTCAGCCCTTGGGGTCACAGCTCTCAGGAGGCACCATAGGATGCAGCTGTGCTCAGCTCCAGGAGCCCATTGCACAGCCAGAGCCAGAGGCCAGAGAGGCCAAGGTCACCAGGAATGAGCCCAGGCTTCTGCGCACCCCCAGCTGCCTCCTGCACCCGGATTCCTGCCAGCCCCTTCCTGGGGTCTTCCCTGCTGGGTCCTTGGCCTCCTCCAGGCTCAGAGGAGCTGGGAAGCAGTTGCCATGGCAACCCAAGCGGCTGGCTCTGGGCTCGCTCTTGGTTCATTGTTCAGTGCTCACAGGAGTGTGCGGGGGCTGCATCCCCAGGCCTTCCCGGTGCCCTCAGCATCTCCACCTCCCATTCAAGGCCTTTGAGGCTGCAGTGCTACGTGCAGAACTCTGTGCCTCAGCACCCCAGTGGCCCTGACTTGCCTGCCCTGTCCCACCCCCACGCCTGTGCTCAGGTAGATGCTCCTGCCTGGAGCTCCCTGTCTCTCTTCTCTTCACCTAGAAGGGAAGCTGCTGGGTCCACCTTCCCAAAAGGGCACAAGGGCCTGGAGGAAGGAGAGCCACGCAGCGGGGGGGACTTAGCTGAACAGCCCTCGGTCACTGCGGCAAGATCCCTGAACAATACACATTCCTGAGCTCCAGCCCAGACTCTCTTTTAACCAAGGACCACAGGTGACCCTCAAGTGTGAGAACAGGTGTCACTGGACTGGGATGTCTGTGGAATGAAGGAGCTGTCAGAGGACAGCAGAGCAGGGACCCCATCCCTACCCCAAAGGCTGGACCCTCCCGGGGGCCACCCTCATGCTGGCATTACCAGTCCAGGGGCTCATTCCCCAGCCTGCTCTCCCTCCCCATGTGCCATTCTCCTTCCTGCCCCCAACCAAGGGCGCTCCTCTCCAAGTCTGCCCACTGGGGTGAACGAGGTCCAGGCCAGCAGTGTTTGCAGCTCTGAGGCCTGGTGCTCACCCCTGTCCACCCTGCCTGGAAGGTTGTGTCTGCAACCCCAAGTTCCAGACTGGTCCCTATGTCACTCCAGGCTGGTTCCCCTCTCTGGCCCCACCGCTCCCTGACAAGGAGAACGGCTGGGCTCTAGCTGGGCTCTAGCACTCAGAATACTAAGGCTGCAACCCTGTGTAGGGAGTTTGGTTTTTTTAGTTTCATCAGCACCACCCCATCCCCCACCGAAATGTGACGCTAGGGGCAGGGAACCCTGGCCTTTCCTCACTCAGCAGAGAGCAAAGCGTGCCTTGGGGGACAATCCCTGGGGTCCTCAGGTCAGGAAGGGGTGCTCAGTAAGCAAGGAATGCTGGCCTTCAATTGTTTTATCCTTTATATTTTTATAAAAGAGCAACGAGCTGGGCACAGTGGCTCACGCCTGTAATCCCAGCACTTTGGGAGGCCAAGGCGGGTGGATCACCTGAGGTCAGGAGTTCAAGACCCTCCTGGCCAACATGGCAAAACCCTGTCTCTACTAAAAATACAAAAGTAACAGGGTATAGTGGTGGGCACCTGTAATCCTAGCTACTCCAGAGGCTGAGGCAGGAGAATTGCTTGAACCCCAGAGGCGGAGGCTGCAGTGAGCCAAGATCGCGCCATTATACTCCAGCCTGGATGACAGAGCAAGACTCCATGTCAAATATAAATAAAAAAATAAATGAGCAATGATCTCCCCCACCCAGATGGGTAAACTGGGGCCAGCAGCAAGGCAGGGCATGCCCCAAGTCATGGGACAGAGTTTGAGACTTGCTCCCTCCCGAACCCCCAGAGTCCCGAGCACGTACCTTCCCTGCTGGGCCTCCAGCCCCCTCAGCAGTGCCTGGCTGTGGTGAAGCAGGCCAGGGGGTGCTCATGCTGCTGCTGCCACTGCGCCACTAAGCTGCACTAGGACTGGGAGCAGAAATGGGGTGTCTGCTGTTGGCCTGATGCTGGATCTACCCTCCCCCGAAGGCTTCAGGCACTGAGCCCACCCCACTCCACCCCAGCCCAGGCCCAGTGCCCACGGTTCCAGCTGGACCTGTATTGCACTGCTCCCTGCCTGAGCCCACTGCCAGAGGGGGCACTGGACCCTGGCCACATAGTGTGCCTGCAAGAGGGCACAGGCAGGAGGGGAGACCTGGAAAGGCTTCCTGGAAGAAGTCCGCTGATCTGAGGCCTGAGGGATGAGCAGGAGGTAGCCAGGCCAGTTGGGAGGACAGAAGCGCATTCTGAGACAGGAACAGTTCAGGAAGGACACAGAGCGTCCAAGGGACTTAAATGGGTTTCTGAGACAGGAGGCTGGTAGTAGTAGGGACTGGGTTCAAGTCAGCCAGAGACCAAGGTGCCCATTTCCTCCTTGAGAACACGCACCCTGCACACCCCGGGGCCAGGCCCTCAGCACCCACAGCCCAAGGGAAACTGACATCCTGCCTGCACTTGGCCACGCCCACCCAGGCTGGCCACAGCAGAGGGAGCCCCACTGGAGCCCTGGCAGCAAGGGCTCTGGGAAGAGAGCCCCTGCCAGGAGTCGGCACCAGCCAGACCCTTCACCTGCCGTGTGGGTTCTTGGGGCCACACCCAGGTCAGAGGCAGAAACGGGGGTTGGGTCTGGCAGTGGCTGGCATGCAGGCAGCAGAGGGCCATGGGCAGGGGCAGCCCGGCAGGAAGGGGACAGGGCAGTAGGAGAACAGAGACCAGCAGGAGGGAATGCCTGTGACGTCCTGCTGGGGTGGGTGAGGGTGGTCCTGTGGCTGCCAGCAAAGCAGAGGGCTGCTATTCTGGGAAATGAGGTTTCTTTCACCAAAAACCCCACTCAGGTCAGCTGGGGTCCCACTGAGGGCCCAGGGAGGGCTAGAAGGGCACACAGTGCAGGAAGCCTCTCCGGGCAGTGAAGCCGCACCCTCTGGTTCCTCTGCCCAACCCCAGAGCCCAGGGATGTCTCAGTGCCCCTAGGTCCAGCCCTCCATCAAGCCTCTCCTGGATCCCATCCCAGGACCCCAGAACCCAGGTTAGAACCCAGGGCAGCCAGGACAGAGACCCAGCCAGACTTGGGAAGGAGGCAGAGGGAGAGGCAAGAAAAATATTGCCACAGAGACCAGGCGAGAGGTGACTGAGCTGGAGACAGAGGAGAAGAGAGAGAGAGAGACAGAAACAGACCCGCAGATGACACTTGGCCCCGAGAGAGAGGATGACAGAGGCAGATGATAGAGCTGTCTGCTTGAGCCAGGTGGGGGCGGGTGGGGAGGGAGCAGGCAATCAGGAAACAAGTGCCCAAGGGCTGCCTTCCCCTGCCCAGCGCCAGGGCCCAGTGCCAGCTGGGGCACCACACATAGAGGGCGCCCACCACCCCCAGCGCCGCGGGATCCCAGGTCTTGCCGGGCACAGCCCCGGGGGCAAAAGCGCGCGGAGGCATGGCGTCCCACAGCCGGGCTGACCCCGCGAACCCATGCCGTCCCCTTCCCCAGGGAACTGGACTCAAAACTCCCCAAATCCCCCCATGCTCCTCCCTCTCCCAACCACCCCGCACCTGGCCGTCAGGGCGCGCCCGGGGCCCGCACTGCCAGGGCTAGGCTGGGGACGGGGCGACCCTGCGCCACACTCACACTCATACTCACCGCCCGCGCGGGTGCTGGCGCTGGGGCCTCCGCGCTCCGCTGGCTCCGCGCTCACCCGGCTCGCCCTCCTCTCCGCGCTCCCCGCCCACGCGCGCTCTCCCGGCCTCCCTCGCACTCGCCCTCCACGGGTCTGGCCGCCCGCCCTCGGCGCCTCCGCCCTCCCAGCTCCAGCCCCCAGATAGGGCCCGGCCTCATCTTCTCTTAAGCCGACCCCTCCCCAAGGACCTGCCCCCCTGGCCACTTGAGACTGAGCCTCAAGACTGGCGTCCAGAAATTTGAGGTGCAGAATTCGGTGGGGCCAGATACATGGAAAGAGGACCCCCTCCTATTGGGGAATAAGAGAGGAGTAAAAAGGACAAAAAAAAAAAAAAAAAAGCAACTGCCGGGCGCAGTGGCTCACGCCTGTAATCCTAGCACTTTGGGAGGCCGAGGCGGGCAGATGACCTGAGGTCAGGAGTTCGAGATTAGCCTGGCCAATATGGTGAAATCCCGTGTCTACTAAAAATACACAAAAAAGAAAAATTAGTCAGGCGCGGTGGCAGGTGCCTGTAGTCCCAGCTACTCTGGAGGCTGAGGCAGGAGAATCGCTTGAACCCGGGAGGCGGAGGTTGCAGTGAGCCAGGATGGAGCCACTGCACTCCAGTCTGGGTGACAGACCGAGATTCCGTCTAAAAAAAAAAAAAAAAAAACTGGGATGGGCTGCAGGAAGAGGGGGGATCACCCTGCAACCCCCCTCTCATCTTCACTTCCAGTTCCATTCCCAAAAAGGAGCAAAACAGCCCTGGGACAAGCCGTCTGGTTCAGTCCAGTGCACAGACCTGACACCTAAAGCCAAGGTGCATAATCTCTGGTCCATGTAATTCCCAGCCTGCAACCAGGAAGCCTCCACCATCAATTATCTAACATCCCACTTCCATTCAATATCCACAGTCCAGCCACTGTCTGTCTACCATTCACAGCTATTCATCTATCTTTTGCCATCCTGCCACCATCTGAGACCCACCATCTGCCATCCATCATCCACCATCAATAACCCAACATCCTTCTCGCCCACAGTCCACCATCTACCATCAATAACCCAATATCCACCCCGTCCACAATTCACCATCTACCTTCAATAACCCAACATTCATCCCATCCGCAGTCCACCATCTGCCTTCGATAACCCAACGTCCATCCCATCATCCCATCCACAATCCACCATCTATCATCAATAACCCAACATCCATCCCGTCCACAGTCCACCATCTATCATCAATAACCCAACATCATCATATCCACGGTCACCATCTATCATCAATAACCCAACATCCATCCCGTCCACAGTCCACCATCTACCATCAATAACCCAACATCCATCATATCACAGTCCACCATCTACCATCAATAACCCAACATCATCCGTCCACAGTCCACCATCTATCATCAATAACCCAACATCCATCCCGTCCACAGTCCACCATCTACCATCAATAACCCAACATCCATCCTTATCCACAGTCCATCTATCATCAATAACCCAACATCCATCCCGTCCACAGTCCACCATCTGCCTTCGATAACCCAACATCCATCCCGTCCACAGTCCACCATCTACCATCAATAACCCAACATCCATCATATCCACAGTCCACCATCTATCATCAATAGCAACATCCATCATCCACAGTCCACCATCTATCATCAATAGCAACATCCATCCACGTCCACAGTCCACCATGTGCCTTCAATAACCCAACATCCATCATATCCACAGTCCACCATGTGCCTTCAATAACCCAACATCCATCATATCCACAGTCCACCATATATCATCAATAACCCAACATCCATCCCGTCCACAGTCCACCATCTATCTTCGATAACCCGACATCCATCCATCCACAGCCCACCATGTGCCTTCAATAATCAACATCATCCATCCACAGTTCACTATCTGCCTTCGATAACCATCAATAACCCAACATCCATCATATCCACAGTCCACCATCTATCATCAATAACCCAACATCCATCCCGTCCACAGTCCACCATGTGCCTTCAATAACCCAACATCCATCATATCCACAGTCCACCATGTGCCTTCAATAACCCAACATCCATCATATCCACAGTCCACCATATATCATCAATAACCCAACATCCATCCCGTCCACAGTCCACCATCTATCTTCGATAACCCGACATCCATCCCATCCACAGCCCACCATGTGCCTTCAATAATCCAACATCCATCCCATCCACAGTTCACTATCTACCTTCGATAACTCAACATCCATCCCATCCACAATCTACCATCTACCTTCCCTCATGCAACCACCAGCCATCCATTCACAATCCACCATTCAACCACCGTCTGGTATCCAATGTCCATTAACCATCCATCTCCAGTCACCATTCTCTATCCAATCACTGCCCATCCATCATGCACCCATCCATTCACCACCAGCACCCATCATTTACCAAGCATCAGTACACCACTAAATACCCATCAATCCAACATTCATTCACCAACCATCCATCCACCACCTATCCATCCATCACTCACTGTGTAACAGCTTTCCATCAGATATTTAACACGTCCATCTACCATTCACATCTCCATCCACATATCTAATTTTGAATCATCAATCTATTTACTATTCATTTATCCCATTAACCTCCATGAAATCAGCTACCATTCATCCATCTACAATTCAGCCACCAGTCTTTCACCATTTGCTATCCATTAATATTTCTATGAACTGTATTCCTGTATCCATCCACCAACCATCTACCATCACCATCTCTTTTTTGGTGTTTGTTTGTTTGAGGCAGAGTCTCGCTCTGTCACCCAGGCTGGATTGCAATGGCACAGTCTCGGCTTACTGCAAACTTTGCCTCTGGGTTCAAGCAGTTCTCCTACCTCAGCCTCCCAAGTAACTGAGATTATAGGTGGCTGCTACCACACCCAGCTAATTTTTGTATTTTTAGTAGAGACAGAGTTTCACCATGTTGGTCAGGCTGGTCTCTCTACTGACCTCAGGTGATCCACCATCCATGGCTTCCCAAAGTGCTGGGATTATAGGCATGAGCCACCACACCCAGACTACCATCACCATCTCTTATCCACATCCACCACATACCTATTCATTCATTGTCCATCTCACAACATCCTCTATCTATCCACCCATCATCCAGCCAAAATTCACTATTCATCCAAAATCCATCCAAATACCATTTAGCATCCATTCATATTCACCCATTCTAGAAAAAAAATATTGGCTGCCTGCTATGTGCCAAACATTGTTCTAGGTGCTGAGGACAGAGTAGAGAGACAGCAGTGAGCATTTATTTACTATTACCCATCCACCATTACAATTCACTCACCATCCATCTGGTCAGTATTCATGCACCATCCCACATTCATTATTCACTCTCCATTCAATATTCATCTTCATTCAACATCCATTGACTGTCCACTTGCTATGTATCCATCTTCCTCCATCTATACATTAAAGCATCCATTTACCACCTCTCCATCTACCCACCCACATTCACCTTTCATGCATCACATTTCCAACTTGTAGCCATCTGCTGTTTAACCTTCATCCATCCGTTCAACATCTATTCATCATTCATCATCCAGATTCCATCCAGTTGTTATCTATCCACATCCATCTATCTATACCTCCACAGCACACAACCCATTATTCATCCAGCTAGCAATCATTCATTTATTTGCCATCCAGTCCCCATTCATGCACCAGGCAGCCACCATTTACTTGTCCGCCACTCATGATCCATCCATCAGTCATATACTCATTGGTATTTCTGTTCCATCTGCCCATCCATTCTCTGTGGATAGATCCATCACAATCATCCACTTCTATTTATCCACCATCCACCCACACTTCCATGATGTATCTACCCACTAGGCATCCACCATCTACTATTAATACTTATTGCCTGCAGTTTATATCCACTATGTATGGATTCATGTGGTATCCATCAATACATCAATTCAGCATCCATGTCCATCCGTTTTCCATCTATCAATCTACAGTGTATTTATCTATTCTTCATCACTTAATCAGTCACCAACTACATAGATGCATCTACCATCCATCATATTATATCCATCCACCATCTAGGATCACCCTCTACCATGCTTCCAGTGCCCATCCAATCATTATCCATACATTCTTCTACCCACCACATTCTCATTCCATCATTACGTCTATCATTCTTCCACTATCACTCACCCAGACACTTATTCGTCCCCCACCAGTCAGTCAGTCACCTAATAATTAACTCATCCATGTGTTCATCTATTACCCATAAGTTACATTCTTATATTATCCATATACATAAACATCAGTCCACCGTTCTCACTTCATCTCACCACCACCTATCCCCACCATTCATCCATCCATCTTCTCACCATTCTTTTGCCCATTCATTCATAAACAAAACATTCATGTATTAATAAATATTAATATTAAGCATTTTTGACTCCATGTCAATGCTAGATTCTGGGATCATTGAGAGAACTAAGACCCAATCCAAATTCATGATCCAATGGTCCAAAACGGAGAACCAGGTCAGGCAGAGAAGTGTCTGTGTGAAAATGTGAATTGGATTCTCCTGGATGTAGGATGGATGGAGCTCTTTGCACAAGTTCTCCAGGAGGAGGATGGGCAAGGGGGCATCACAGCAGGGTGAGTGGAGGCCTGACCAGGGCACTGTGGCTGCAGCTCGGGAGACCTGAAGATGTGGGCATAGAGGGAGGTGGGACTGGATAAAGAAGGTAGCAGAGATTGTGCAAGGCTGAGAATGCCCGGCAGAGAGGCCAATCCCTGATGTAGGGGCAGCAAGGAGTTCTGAGAGGGTTTGGGGCAGGCAAGAACCCCAGTCAGCTACGTTCTGAGAAGGGGCTCCCCACATCTGTACACTACTGCAGGCAAGAGCACAGACCAGAAGGACAGGGACCTGCCTTAGTGTCACACACCAATGCCAGAGTAGGTCCGACACCTGACACCCTGATCACTGTGACTGCAACTGCACCCTCTGAAGACCCAGACACCCTCATGTCAGGAAAGTCAGCTGGCATGCTCCCTTT